TTAACGCTGTTTAAGGAAATAATAGATTTTTATTCTGATAATTAATTAACCCTTCGAAGCCGAAGCTCGTCTAAATAGCATTTAAGAATCCAGTCCGTACCGCGAAGAAAACACAACGCCTCACCATTACAAAGATCAACTGGTTAACGCTGTTTAAGAAAATAATCGCTGTTTACACTGAGAATCATACATAACCTATAAATAATGTCGAGACTTCAGGTTATCACAGCGGCGAGAGCGAAGATGTGTGTCTTCTGGGATGTCGTGCGTACATTTAAACACCTGTAAAACATCGGTCATTTCCTACGAGTGTCAGGCTACATGACGCAACATCCCACATGACATGTCAGTGATTTACGGTCATCTGAAGTGCGTCTTCGTACGTAAGGAGCGATCGCTATTCAAATTACTTTGTCACTCTATTAATCACTGCCAGCCTGAGTGTGTGACTTTACATTTGTTTGAATTGTACGATTTCATGTGGACGCCTAGCCGGGAGGTGAAAAAATCTACTGACTTTATCTGTGACTGCAGAACGAGTACAAATTGTGAAATAGCCGTCTAACCAGTAACTCTGCGAAATAAATGTCAACTCGAAAGTTTGTCAAGAAATTCCCCGATATTTAAGGAACTAGAATGTTCATTACAGTGTCCTCGAAAGCCAACCACCGGCCATAACCTCAAACATATAAATTTGCTCCAAGTCCTAATCCTCTTCGATCTACTTTAATATTATCCTCTAATATACTGTTCTGTAATACAAGCTGTTTCTTCCATTACCGCCTTCTACCTAAAATTCTGCATACATTTATCACGAACAGAATTGCGTGCTGCATGTATTGTTTATCTTGTTCTCCTTAACCAGAACTAATAAAAGTTATAATATTTCCAGTCTCTTCATCCAACTTAGGTCCGAATATTCTCAAAAACCTTCAGTCTGTGCCCTTCCTTCACAGACAGACAAAACAACGGATAAAGTTGCAGTTTAAACTTAAATCTTCACATTTCTGGCTAGAAGGTGATGCAGATTCACTCTTAAGTGGCACTGGGACATATCCCAGTTTTATATCCGTCGTTAAAATCCAAGTTCTTCTACCCGCTGTACCTTTATCTCCTGAGCTTTGTTTTACCAGTGTTAACGTGTTTTTAAAGCAAATATAATTTGATTTAAACCGCCAGTTAAAATAACTGCATGCACATCCACCTCTCTACACCCCCTCCCCCACCCCCAACGCGGTCCCCAAGACACTCACCGACTCTGGTCTGCATTACGTTGCAAGTCACAGGAGTCTTCATGGACCCTGGTTCGTATCCATGTTGATGTTGACTCTATCCTGTCTTCAGAAATGAATTTGACCTTACAATGTCGATCAATTTCCTTTTTTCGTTTTCAATTTAAAATGAGAGCTGAATAAGCTGGAGATTTCCAGTTGCATAACAAACGTTGTGAAGGAAAATAATCAATTAAGTTAGTAGAATCATAACATTTTTAATTTAACAACCTGAATATCGTTATGATAATAAATAATTTAATCTTTGTTCTTCCAGTGCACTGGCTTTAAAATGCCAGTTGAGCACATAATTCATGAAGTTTATTATGCAGAAGATTAATATAATAATATACAAGCAATTAAATGGTTTATTAAATCTGCGTGCTAATATCTAAGCTACTTCATAATAACTATTAATTTGAAACTCTTTAAGCACGCGTTAGTGAAAAAGGAGAAACAGAACAATAATCCACCGTACATGAGGCTACATAGAGAGATGCAGTTGATAAACACGCAGAAAAAAGTATCTTGGAATTATAAAAGAAAATTAAAATTTAATAACCACACGTGAAACATAAGAACTCTTAAAGACGTTTTAATACGAGTGCATTTGCATGTTATTTAGTCCTAGGCGCAGAGCAAGTTCGGATTCTCACTCGTGGTGGCAGCAGAGATAAGACAATATAACTACCCCATCCCTTATCTGTGACCCTGTGACGTACATGTACTCGGAACCACAACGCTAAACAAAATTACCCCCTTCTTTCTATAATTTTGTCTTTATTTCTCATATATTTCTGTTATATTAAGAAGCGGAAGAAGGAGAAGAAATGAAAAGTTGATAAAATACAAGTCCACTTACAGGACAACGGAATTTTTATTACTGTTACAATCACCTGCTGATAAGACCGCCAAAATTGCCCTATTGGAAACAAAAGCAGGAGAATTGATAATGGTGAGGGTTGATATAAAAATAATATAATTAATAAACCATTATTATCATTAGTATTGTTCTCGAATTTTCCAGACTTACCAACAGAAATATAATGACGGAGGAATCAGAGAAACTATTAAAATATGGCGACCCGTAGAATGGCAGAAATTCGGAGTACCTGTATGTTTATCAGGACCGTTTCAAATGAATTTACATGACATCCTTGGTAAAAAAAAAATCCGGATTGGAATGACAGAACAACAAACCTTAACTTTTGTTTAACCCTTTGAAGCACGAAGCTTATCTAAATAATATATAAGAATCTGGTCCGTACCGCGAAGTAAACACAACACCTCACCATTACAAAGATCAACTGGTTAACGCTGATTAAGGAATTGATGGCTTGTTTATTATGAAAAACATACGAAATTCAATAACTCTGCAGTTTTACGAAAGAATGCATTTGTGTTTTTGAAACAGCGTTAACCAGTTGATCTTTGCAATGGTGAAGTGTATAGGAATTGGAGTTAATTACTACTGTTAATTGTTCAGACTAACGTATCAACTAATTAATGTTGTCAATATGTTTTAACGAAGTTCTACATGAAATGTATCTTGTAAGTTGCATGTCTGCTTTATAATTTAAGACATTAAAATGCCATC